CCCACCGGAAGCCCTGCCTGCCCTGGTCCATTGGGGACTGTCCCTTCAGGGCCTCCTGCTCCTGTTGTTGATTATCCTGCATGGCAGCTGGCATTTGGTTCCTGAGGAGGTGGCAGCTTGGGGGCAGAGATACTGGGAGCAGGGCCTTGGTGACAGGGAAGGTTCCCAACAAAGAGAGACACAGAGCGCTGCTTGAACAGGCCAGCAGCTGCTGGTGACCGCGTGCTGTGTTCACTGGTTTGCCACAGGATCACCCTCACTGCATATAACCTTGCTAGTTGGAAGGCAGTGACAGGATCTGCCAGCAGCACCGTGCTTTGCAGGCGGGTGGGCTGGGCACGGGAGCCGGGGAAGGCTTGCCGGGGCCCGTGGCTCACGCTGCCGGGAGGTCCTTGGTGACTGACTGTCTGAAGCTGACATCATGACTCACGTATGTGAGAGTCGCTGGAATGTGAGGCCTCTGCCAGACAGACCTCCTGACCGCCTCGGCCGCACCTGCGGTCCGCGCCGGGCAGGCCTGGGCAGCGCCGATGCGCTGGGGCCAGAAAAGGCGCTGGCCTCTCCGGAGACGTGCGGAGACAGCAGTGGGTCCACAGTGGCATGCATGTGACCCTCACAGGGACATGCTGGTCTGCGGGCCGGCCCCGCATGCCTATCTCTTCCTGCAGCTCCTGGTCACCGGCACCACAAATCCGCCGCACGATCTGTTAATCTGTCTTCCCCGACATCCTCAGAGCTCGGAGCCCCCTGGCCGGAGGGAAGCCCAGGTCCCTCTTCTACCCAAACCTAATATCTGGCGTCGGCTCTGAGCAGCGGCCAGTTAGCTGGCGGCTTCTGGAAAACACGCTGCCCTCCGTCTGCCCAGTCTGCGGTGAAGGACGGCCTCCGGGCCCCGCCCGCACCGCCCGCACCGCCCGCACCGCCCGGTAAACGCGGTCACTCCCGGCCAGTTTGTCTGTGTGCGGGGCCCCGGCCGGGCTCCGGCCAGCGGCATTTGGAAAAAGCAGGATCCCTGCAGAGGAGTCAGACTTGGTGGCAGCTGCTTTTCCAGGCGGCAGATGCTCCGAGAGGGATGAAGAGGGAACTGAAGCTCTGTCTCCCGAGAGCATTGTCCTATGGGAGCAGCAGGGGTGCTCTGGACGGAGTGGGCTCCTCACCGTTAGCAGGTCGCCGTTGCCCAGACCGGCCACCAGGCCACGGTCCAGAGCTGGCCAGGGTCCCAGCCCAGCGAGGCACGGCCTCAGTTCACAGGAGAGGCTCACAGCTGGGAGGGCTGCTAACCACGATGGCGGCTCACCCCAAAGGCTTCCCACACGTGTGCCCACCACCGCTAAGTGTGGGAGAAGGGGAACTGCAGCCGCGAAGCTACGGAAATGCTCCGGGCGGCACCCCAAGGCACTCTGTGGCCACATCCGCTGAGGGGCTCGCCCCCCTGTCAGAGGTGTGACTTGGGAGACATAAACGCTCTTACCGCCTGTGGACTGGCTCCCCACGCTTCCCCGCCCTCAGTCTCCTCTCACTTGGCCCGCTCACTCCCCCCAGGCTCTGCCTCCAGGAGATCTGCACTCCAGCCGTCTCCTCCTGGGACCGCTCTGATCTCGGCCTCCTCCTCTTTGGGAATCGATGTCCCTGCTGTCAGCCACCTGGGCGGCAGGTGACAGCCCTCCCTGAGCTCACCGAGGCTGCGGCTGCCCCACGCCTGGCTCTGCCACGCGCACTGCCCTCAGAGTCCTCTCAGCCTCAGCAAAGCCCTTCCCATGCAAAACAGGGAGACCGCGCTTTATAAAGAATTTAAAAAGGCTTCTCGCATCTCCACCGAGGTCACGGCCCCACTCGTACCCAAGACGCTGTGGATGTTGCTGAGGCTTGGGTCGATGGCCATTAGGTTGAAATGTCCGTCATGGGGAGCCAAAAAGGAAAAACATGGGGCATTCCTAATGACCACCAACACAGGCAAAAGTCGCCAAGACGGAAATGACCACAAAACACATGCTGACACGAGACTGTAAGTGTTTTTCGAATACAGCACTGCTGCCTGGCCGGGGTGATTGCTGGATGTCATACCTGGCATCCCATTTTGCAGGCCAGACTCGGAGATTGGGAGGTAGAGTTTCTGGGGGACCATTATCAGAACCTGGAGGAAGTTTCTCTCTCTCTCTTTCTCTCTCCTGACCTTAAGAGGAGACATGCTTTGCCCGAGGCCAGAGTCCATGGAGAGGGGGCTGTGTTCGTGCAATTTGCACACTTCGGTTTATGGGGTGCCTCCAAAGGGGATGTTGGGCCCTGCCAGTGTGTCTAAGTGGTTAGTGTAGGTCCTCGCACTAAAGGGTCAGAAGTTCGATTCCCAACAAGGGCATGTGTCTAAGTCGTAGGTTTGATTCCCAGCCCTGGTTGAGACAGGTTCAAGAGGTGACCAATCAATATGTCTCTCTCATATCTAGGTTTCTCTCTCTCTCTCTCTCTTTCCATCCCTCCTTTCATCCCTTCCACGCTCTCTGAAAATCAATGGAAAAAAATACACTTGGGTGCGGATTAACAAAGTAAAATACAGTGATGTGAGAGGGCAGTGGCCGTGAGACGGGAGTTGGGCGGCGGGCAGTGTGCGCCTGCAGGGCCTCGGGGAGCCAGTGGGACCTGGTTCGCTCTTCCTTTCCTTCCTAATTATTTTCTCTCCAGACGAAGCCCTGGAGGGATAGAGCGTATTGAGTTCAGAATGTTCCAGGTCACTTTCACAGGCTGCCCTTGTTTTCAAAGCCAGTGTGCTCCTGGTTGACCTCTGGGCCTCCTCCCTGCCCCTCCTAACTCTCCTACTGCAAGAGGGAGGATAGAGCCGGCCAGCCCACCCCACACGCGCTCTTTCCTCTCCCCGCAGCCTCTCCGCACACAGGGGCCTGGGCACCAGCTTGGCCTTTGAAGGCTGAGACCCGTGTTTTGCCGGACCGTCTGGTCTGCTTTCCCTTTCATATCGTGCCTGAGGGAGGGTCCCTGGGAGGCGGGGAGGATGGGTTTGGGGGGCCATGGGCCTGTGTCCCGAGGTTGATGAGGACCCGGTGGCATGTGGGTGCTGAAGCCTCCCCCACAAGTCTGCAAAGAGCAGTGACGCCCAGAGGGGAGCGGTCTTTCCCCTCCGCACTCCACCGGCTGATCCCACCGGGAGAAGGCTGGCTCCCGGCAGCCCATCCCCCACCGAGCTGCACAGCCACTGACTGAACCCAGGTCCGGGGCTCGCTCAGCGGGTAGTGCTTGGCCGGAACTTAATACCACTTTCTGTTTCTTTTATCTATTTTTATAATACCCTTCCTACAGTAATGACATGGACTTAACCTTTTTTTAAAAAATAAACTTACCCTTTTATTAAAACACAGAAATTTTTCATGTAAATAAGTTTCCAGAAATCAAATTCAAAATGACGCCAGAAACACTGAGTCCAGTTCTGCTTCTGACATCGGATATGTGTCCATAATCTTCCCATCAGGAAGCGCCTCGCTCTGCTCCCACACCTCCCACGCCTCCCACGCCGAGCTCCTCCCTCCCAGGGCGCCCCCCGGCAGCGGCTCTGGGAAAGGCTGCTGAGTCCGCAGCAACTCAGTTCTCCTGGCAGGTGTGTGAGTGTGTGTGTGTGTGTGTGTGTGTGCAGGGTGTGCCCCTGTCCACTCCCTGCAGCCTCTCCAGGTTCCCCAAGCAGGTCCTCATCCTCTCCATTTTACAACAGCTGTAAAAATTTTCATTTTACAACAGTGGTGACTTCTCCTCGTAACGGGCCGTTCCAGGAATGGAGGCCAATATCCGAGCAGCGTCTGGACCTGGACCAGCTGCCAGGAGTGGAGGCCGCACGGAGACAGGCTGGGCCCTGAGGACATCAACAGGGACTCCCAGACCGGAGTGAGTGGGCCTAGCCTACCGTCCGAAGGAAGATCATTTCCTGGTTCACTCGAATGTGGGCATTTTCCCACAAGCCCCGCACTGCTCCTCTGCTCCCACCTGCTCCCTCCCGCCCACAGGAAGCACGGAGGCTGAGCTCTGCCTGCTCCCTCTCCAGCCTGAGGTCATACGGCGTGTTCCCCTCACTCACTGTCTCAGGATTCTCACACACACACACACACACACACACACACACACACACACACGGTTGGCTTCTGTCGACTTCTGTTTAAATAAGTTCATTTTACAGAAACCAAAAAGGAAAAATCGTGGTCAGCTGTTGATATGCGTACAGTAACCCCTGCAGCTCCTGTTTCTTCCATTTAATGTTTCCAACGCCCACTTCACAGATGAGGAGACTTCAGATGAGAGAGAAGCAATGTGCTCAGGGTCACAGGCAGGACTTCAAACGGGCCCTCACGCATGTGGTGCGGCCGGTCCCCTCGGCCTGACAGCGTGCTGCCTTCAAAAGAGGATCTATCGTTGTACCTGAAGGCAGCAGGCTGGAGGCTGAATCCCCACTGAGGGGCTGGCCTCACCAGCACCAAGGCTGTCCCCAGCCGCCCCCCTCAGACCTGCCGCCCTCCCTTCCCCTCTGGGGCCTTCAGGGTGCCGCCAGGAGCTGCGACAGTGGCTGCCGCCTGGACGTGAGGGCCAGGCCAAGTTGGCTGTGACCTTAACCGGCTACAGCCCTCCCGCTCGCCTGTCCCCACGCCACTGGTAGCCTTTCCTAAAGGTCGGGAGGAAACCTCGCTCCTCCCACGCCTCTCCCAAAGGCCTGGTCAGTTAGAAACATCTCCTGGTCTTCTCTGGATGGGGAGAAATTAGCCCAGGCCGGCGCTGGCTCCTAGGCGATGGCCACCTGGGAGGGAGGCGTCGCCACCCCAGCCTCAGCCCCTCGCCCCCTCGAGGCTCTAGCCCCGCCCTCCGCTCCAGCCCGCCCCGCCCCGCCCCTCCCGCGCCCGGGCTCCCAGGCCTCTCAGTGGGCGGCCCGCCGGCACCGCGCGGCCGGGTCGGAGCAGGGCCGGGGCAGCCCCTCCGGGCGGGCGGGGCGGGGCGGGGCGGGGCGGCCGGCGGATGAATGAACCCGGAGCCGGCCCGGAGCGGCGGCCAGAGCGCGGTGCGCAGCGCAGCCTCCGGACCGCGGCGGGGAGCGGTGAGTGTGATGCCCGGGGGGCGCCCGCCCTGCGGACCCGGAGCGCGGTGCCTGCTGCGCTGGGCGGGGAGCCAGCGCGGCCCCGGCGCTTTCGGGCCGGGGAATCGGGGCGGGGGCGGGGGTCTGGACCTCAGTGCTCCCCGAGCCCCTGGGGCGGGAGTGCGGTGGGAGGTGGACCAGCGCCCCCAGCCGCGCTGCCTTTGGGGAACTGGATACAAATGCCCCTTTCCTTCCAGCCGCCTGGGCGGGAAGCCTGGGAGGCAGGGGTGCCTGGGGGAGGGTAAGAGGGGACGGGACGGGACGGGACGGGGGGAACCTTCAGGCGGGCCGGGCTGGCGGGTGGGCGCACACAGGCAAGCGGCCACGTGGGTGCCGCCGGGACACGCGGCCCGGAGCCGCCAGGTTGCGGCGGGTCCCCACCTACGGCGGATGCGGCTGCCGCTGAGTCAAGGAGGAAGCGTCATGCTCAGAAGTTACTCAGAGAGGCCGGCTCTGCTCCCACCGACCGCGCTCCGGACACCGGGAGGGGAGCGCGGGCCGAGGGTGGGGGGCTGGTCCTCGGGCTCTGGTCCTCACCCACCACGCGGAGTCCCACGCCCGGCCAAGCTGCCCGGCCCAGAGCTGGGGGCCCTGGAGCCCTGGGTGCAGAGAGGGCAGGGGAGGATGAAAACTAGGATGTGGGACTGCCCTTGGCACCGAGTGGGCACACTGGGCTGCAGGTCATCAGCCGGCCAGACACCGGGACCTGCGGGGGGGTGGGGTGCTGTTCTGGGGAGTTTGCCTCTGCTGGCGGAACCGGATGGAGAAAACCCGCTGGAGCGGCGGGGTCACACCGCGGGGGCGGGGTGGAGGCCAGTTGGTCGGACAGAGGAACTGGGACCCCCGTGCCTGGACTCCCTCCTGCGGCCAGGCCACCGGAGATGGGATAGGCGGCGGGGCCTGTAGGAACCACAGTAGTTTTCCACGGTTTAACCAGCTTCCCGCCTCCGCTCTCCCCGTGCTGCCGGGAGCAGCGTGTCCTCTGCGGGTCAGAGCCGGGCCCTGGGAGGGGCGCCTCCTGAACCGTGGGCCTGAGGCTTGTTCTCTGCGGGCGGGCGGGGGCTCTGGACGGAAAGCTCGCGGTCCCGCTGCTGCCTCCAGGACCCTAACACCGACAGCAGGAGCTGTTTCTGAGCATAGACTGTCTGCCCGTGCAGAGTGCCCTGAGTGCGGAGTGCCCTGAGCATCATCCCTCAGACCCGGCAACTGCAGGAGGGCCACTGTGGCTCCCACTCCACTGGGGTAAACCGAGGCGTGGTTAAGTGACCGCCCGCGTCACAGCCAGGCTGAGGCGAAGGGCTGAACCCAGGCTGTGTAACTCCAGACAGCGGAGCTCTGCTCGGGGTGTGGGGCCGCTGTCTGCGTGGCCCCGGTGGCCCTCCGGGGCAGGCCTGGCTGCCGGAGCAGGCGGGGCGGGGTCTGAGTCCGACCGCACTCCTGATTGCCTGGGTGGGGACCTGTCCTGTTTCCTGCTGGGAGCCCGAGGTGCTGCCTGGAATGCTCCCTGGGCTGCTTCCCTCCGGGTGCTCTGACCCAGCCCTGGTTCCTGGGGTGTGGCTCCGGAGCAGGTGCCAGGCGGGACCGGACCAATTCCACCCTACCACCGCGGGAGGAGCCGGTGCTGCTGCGGGCAGAATGGTGGCCGAGCGAATGGGGGTCTGGGCTGCCTGTCCCTATTAGAGCACCTGATTCCGAGGGACTCAGCTCAGGGCTCCTGGCTGTCCTCCGCCCTGACAGCCACGGTGCCCTGGGTTCTCAGTCCACATCCAACTTCCCAAAGCCAAGGTGCTAGCCTTGCTGTGAAGTCAGCTCATGGGGCCCAGCACCATCTCGTCTGGAAGTCTCCATGGGTGTTGGGTCTTCCAGCCCAGGCCAGATTTGCTGGGGAATAGACAGACATTCTCGGCTCTGTGGACTCATGTTCTGGGAGATGGCTGCTACTGTGGCGACTCTGAGCTCCTTGGGCCTCCCCTGGGAGAGATGGGCAGGAGCTAGACCCGCGCCTGGTGCAGGTGGACCACCCCTGCCTCCTTCACAGGCGGCCAGCTGGGGTGTGGGCTCAGACCACGGAAATGTCCCCCTTGAGTCACGTGGTCTCTTGCCCTCAGGCGTGGCTGAGCCCATTGTCTGCCTTTGGAACGTCAAGGCTGTGCGGGCATGGGGCTGTGGGAGGAAGACGGACAGGCCCACGAGGATTCCACCCAGAATGGGGCGGCAGCTCGGCCTCAGGTGACGGCGCTGCTGGAAGAGGCGGAGGAGAGCCGCCTGGCTGCTGAATGCCGGCCCCAGCTGTGTCCCCTCGTGGGCCAGCCCTGGCTTGGTCCTCGGCCCCCCTCAGTGGCACAGCACAGCCCCGATTTCGCCAGCATTACACAGATTAGCCCTCCGACCACATTGCTGGGGACAGGTGGACACTGTACCAACCATGTGTTTTCTGCAAAAGCTGCGCATGGCGAGGGCCCCCGAGGCCCACGCCCAGGGTAGGGCTCGCTGACAGACCAGCTGGCTCCTCCGATGGGCATCCTAGAGTCACAGGCCCCTGGCGGGCGGTCCCGACAGTCCTCTCTCCCAGTGGGCTGGCTCCACTTGAGCACCCTCTCCCATGGGTGGGCCTCTTCTCAGTGACTTTTTGTGGCAAACCCTTTGGCCCGAGCCCAGATGTGGCACCTCTTCCCCACTCTGGGCCTGTGGAGGCATCGCCCACTCTGCAGGCGCCGTGAGCCTCGGAGGCCACAGGAAGTGGGCAAGCCCAGCCTCTGCCTGGGTCGGCCCCTCGTGTGAACAGAGCTTGCTCCCTCCAGCACCCCAAGCTCCATAGCACCTTTCCACGCATCTGATTTCTCCTGAGCCTCCAATGGTGCCTGGACCCACTGCGAGTGGAGAGGCTGGCCTTCGCCTCAGCCTCCTCCCGTGATGTCACACGCCTATTCCAGTGGGGAAACTGAGGCTCTGAGACGCCCACCAAGCTGGAGCTCCTCCTGGCTCTCAAGCAGCCTCTCGCCTCTGCATCGCCCCGGAGTGGGAGGGTGGCGCTTTGTTTGGATCTATACTGTGGGTCGGAAAGAGGAGTAAGGTCCCTCAGGCCCCCGAGCCCACCCCACCTCCACGCTGGGCTCAGGCGCCGGAGACAGAGTGGAAACAGGAACGTCCATGCGGAACTGCAGGACACTCCCTGAGGGACCAGCCCCTCCCTGTCCTCCCAGACAATTCCTCACTGTGGCCTCCATGCAAAGCAGCTCCCGCGATCCCCACGTTACCAGGGGTTACCAGGCACTGCTGCGGCTCCCCAGTCCTGCCGTCTGGGTGTCTGCGCTATAAATTGCTTCAGCCGCAACCTCAAGAAGTGAAAGGCTCCCCACCCCGAAGAGACCGGAGGGGTCCCGGGGAGAAGACGGCTGCCTGGGAGTCCCAGCGTCATGGTGCGAGGACCCTGGGACCCAGGGAGTGAGGCAGGGCCCAGGGGCCACACGAGCAATCCTGCGTCTTCCTGCTGCCCTGCTTTGCATAGAGCCTCGCCTCCGACTGGAAAATGCAGTAAGCAGGTGCCCGGGACTCCCGTGTAGCGTCTGGAAAATAAGAGGAGCGGGCTGCGTAGACAGATGCGTCCAAACCTCCCAGCTCTTTGTGGAGTCCCGGTTCTCACAGGCCCGGCTGCAGCGAGCCACGTGGGCCCTGCCTTCTCAGTGTACTTGAGGGACGGCCTAGATTTCTTCGCAGCAGGTGCCAGACGCCTCAGGTGGCCAGGGCCAGGCTCACTCTAAGACAGCGTTCACACAGGGACACCCCTCCCCACTGGCCAGGGACAGCCGCTGCCGCTGGAGGGGGCGCTGCGGGCCTGCTTCTGTGGGCCAGGATGCCCGCGAAGGCTCCCTCGGGGCTTCCGGCCACAGCTGTCCTCTCGGGGGGATGAAGGCCGCAGAGCAACAGGGAGAGGATGGCCCAGAGGTGGGCAGGTGCCTGGAACCCCTGGCCACAGGGCGGGAGTGCCAGGCAGACCACCAGCTCTGGGCTCACGTGGCGGGAGCACCCAGAAGGAGGCCTGTCCCTCGCCCCTGCAGCAGTCTGTGGGGGATGTTTTGTTCAAGCTTCCCTTACGCTCAGTGCCTGAGTCTGGGGGCACGGCTCCCCTTTCTGTACAGATGCGCTGGCAAGCCCAGCGCCTTGCAGAGAAAGCATCCACTGCCAGTGGGGAGTCCGAGCCTGGAGGGAGCTGTGAGCGGGATGGCAGGTGACAGGCACTGGGTCCAGGGAAGCGCCCTCCATGCTTTGGCTGCTGTGGGCCCCGTCGCGGGAACCGGGCCCTGAGGGCCTGGAGGAGGCCTGCGGGCTGATGTGTGCGAACGTTCTGACCACGTGCGTGTGGTGGCCACCAACGGGGCGCCCCGCTGACATCTAAAATAAGGTTTTCTATGTGCTGCTTTAGTGTATGCGGCCTGTGGGGTTCTAGGTCGGCCGCTGTCTGTTTAGGTCAGAGACGTAGATTTTAATTCAAGTGAGATTTGACCCTGACTCAGGGCTGTTGGGACCATCGGCCTAGTGGTTCGTGTGTTACTCGGCTTTGCTTTCCGACAGGAAGCTCTGCGTTGCTGTGGCCATTCCTAATGACAAAACTAGGCCAGCAGAAGGCCTGATGCCCCCCTGCCCGAGCGAGCCCAGAGCCAACGGGAGGGAGGGGTGGTGAGGGTGGTGGGCAGGAGTTGGAGGCGGCATACCTTGGTCCTCCGTTTGCAGATCACTTACTGGAAATGAGCACATAGGAGTGATTCCTGGGTGCATACTGACCCTCCGGCCCCCACAGGCCGGGGCGGCCCCTGGCCTGGCTGGCTCCTTCCCCCAGGCTGTGCTCCAGCCCAGGACGAAGCCCGAGCCTGTGGGTTGCATGTGCACGTGTTTGTGTGTACCTGCCTGTGTGTGCATCAGGAAAAAAGACACAGGGTGACTCTGGGCCTTGGAACTTCAGGCAGCCTCGCGCCTTTCCTGTATTTCTCTGGAAATATGGGGGTGGCAGGGCTGTCCTAAGGGCTCCAGGGCTCTGGCTGGCCATCCTCGGCACGGCCCCCTGCACCTGAGTGCTGGCCTCCAGGTGCCAGGGTGCGAGCTGGCTGTCGCCCGGCGCCCGCCTGGGCCGCGGCGGGAGGTGCAGCCCTCCAGGAATCTGGCAGCCCGGGCTCTCCTGCTGCTCCCGGCGACCAGCCCGGCCTGCCAGCTTGCACAGGGCGGTGGCACTATAAATAAAGCGGCCCCAGGGAATGGCTTCAGTGGAAGTTTTGCTGCCCACCCACAGCCTTGAGCGACAGCCGCTGACAGCCTGGCAGCGCCAGTTTCCAAAGTAAACAGCGGCCTGCATGCACTTGCCACTCAGCTGGCCGCGTCCTTTCAATAAATGCCTGGGAGGGCGGCTGTGACGCATGTCCACCGGCTCGGCAGCCAGGCAGCCGGGCGAGTGCTGTCTGCACGGCAGCTGTGTGGCCCTGGGCGCGTGGCTGACCTGCAAGGCGGCGGTGGCCAGTGTGCGTGCCGCCCGCACAGAGCCTGGGGGAGGGTGGGGTCACCCTGAGGGAAAGCGCACTGTGCTCTGCCCAGCGGCACTGGCCCCGCACCTGGCCCTGCCGGCGCCGCGGCGCCTCTTCCAGGCGCACGGGGGAGCGTGCGTGCGCTGCCCGCGGCCGCGGTGAGAGGCTGGCGGAGGAGCCCGCGCGGGCAGAGGCTGCACCGCAGGCGTGGCGCCCGGTGCTGCCGCCGGAGGCCCCATCTCTCCGAGTGCCAGGCCTGTCGGGTCCCACCGGGGTCCCTGCCGTCACCCTTCGAGGCTCCCGGTTTGTCTGGGAGGACTCCCTGCTGTGCTGTCTCCCCGACTTCCTCACTTCCAACACCCCCAAACTTCGGGCTGAGACGAAGTCCTTGTTCACACGAAGGCACAGGAAGCTAGCAGGGTGTGTTTAGGAGAATGAGGGCCACGCTTGAAGCCGGAGGGAAGGTCCTCACAGCAGCCGGGACGTGTGCTCAGGGTGGCCGGTGGGCCCCCGCGCCCAGCCTGCCGGCCGGCTGTGCCCCATCCGATTCAGGCCTCGGTCAGGAGGGGCTGTCCTCGGCCTGGCCCGGTGCGGCCGGCAGAGGCCCACCCCAGGCCCAGCCATGGTGGCCGAGACGTGCTGCCCTGTATGTGTGGCCTCAGGTGGGGCCCTGAATTCGGAGACGGGGCTGGTCTTGGAAGGTCACCCCACCAGCCCGGGCACTGACTGGGCAGATGGAGCTGCAGCTGCTCCAGGGGGCGGGGCAAATGGGGTGTTAGCCCCCCAGGGAGCAGGGTGGATGGGGTGTTAGCCCCCCAGGGAGCGGGGTGGATGGGGTGTTAGCCCTCTGGGGGGCGGGGCGGGGGGTGTTAGCCCCCGGGGGGGCGGGGCGGGGGTGTTAGCCCCCAGGGGGCGGGGCGGGGGGGTGTTAGCCCCCAGGGGGGCAGGGCGGGGGGTGTTAGCCCCCGGGGGGGCGGGGCGGGGGTGTTAGCCCTTGGGGGGCGGGGCGGGGGCGGTGTTAGCCGGAGATGGTGGTGTGCGCGTGGGTTGGTGCAGTTTGCTCACCACGTCTCCTCCTCACAGAACAGACGGGCACTGGGACAGGATCGTGCCTCCGGGGAGAGATGCCCCAGCACATGATGGGGGACAAGCCCTTCGTCTCCATGCCGCAGCTGGTGCTCCCCAGCCCGGCCTTCGCTCTGGACGACAGGTGTGGCCACACCCCCTCCAGCCGGCGGGCGTCCCTGGGCGCGCCCCTGAGCCTGGGTGCCCACGGCCCCCTGGACTCCTGCAGCCAGCCGCTGTGCCAGCCCCGGGCCCAGAAGCACGGCGCCCGCGCCTTGTGCTGCCCGGCGGCCAGGCCGCGGAGCTCGGAGTGCGGCTGGCGGGCCTTCACCCCCAGGTGCCTGCAGGCCCTCAACACGCCGCGGGGCTTCCTGGGCTTCCTGTGCGCCGCCGCCTTCCTGCAGGGCATGACGGTGAACGGCTTCCTCAGCACCGTCATCACCTCCATCGAGCGGCGCTACGACCTGCACAGCTACCAGAGCGGCCTCATCGCCAGCGCCTACGACCTGGCCGCCTGCCTCTGCCTCACCTTCGTCAGCTACTTCGGGGGCCACGGGCACAAGCCGCGCTGGCTGGGCTGGGGCGTGCTGCTCATGGGCGCCGGCTCGCTGGTGTTCGCGCTGCCCCACTTCGCCACGGGCCCCTACCAGGTGGAGGTGGACGAGGGCCTCGGGCTGTGCCGCGCCAACCGCAGCGGGGCCTGCGGGCCCCGCGCCTCCAGCCTGTCCCGCTACCGGCTCGTCTTCATGCTGGGCCAGTTCCTGCACGGAGCGGGCGCCACGCCCCTGTACACGCTGGGGGTCACCTACCTGGACGAGAACGTCAAGTCCAGCTCCTCGCCAGTCTACATCGGTGAGTGAGGCCGGCAGGCAGTGTGATGGGTGTTGCTCGGAGCCGGCCCCTTCTGCGCACTTGGCCTCGGTGCTCTGCGGCACGGGCAGGACTGCCAGCGGCACCGGTTGGCTCTGAGAATTGTTTTAAAATCCCCTTAAAAGGCTGGCCCAGCCAGGCCTTAGGCACCGTGGAGCTGACAGGGGGCGCCCCGGCGGAGGGCGGGCAGGCAGGGGGTGTGGGTGGGCTGCTCCCCGGTGGCCCGGTGTCTGACAGCCCTGCTCCCCCTACAGCCATCTTCTACACAGCGGCCATCCTGGGCCCCGCGGCCGGCTACCTGATCGGGGGCGCCCTGCTGAACATCTACACGGAGATCGGCCGGCGGTGAGTGGCTCCCTGCAACACAGGGTGGCGAGAGGACGCGCTGTCTGCGGGAGGGGCGTGGGCGGAGCACCGTGTGGCCCAGGGCTGTGAGGACAGGCCGGGGCGGACAGCGTGGAGGAAGCCGGAGCGCGGGAGACCGGGCCTCGGTGTCTTTGCAGAACGGAGTGGCTTCGCCTCTGCCGGTGTGAGATTCTTTTCCGTGGGCTTTTCCACGCCAGTCGCTTCCCAGACAGCAGCCGGGTGCCCAAACCCAGCAGTCTGACCCTGACCTCCAGTGTCAGCGCAGACCCCAGAGGTCAGGGCGCAGGCCCATGAGATCCCCCAGAAAAGACCCCAGGTTCCCTCCGTCCGCCGTGGGCCTGGCGGAGGTTCCCAGACCCGCAGCTCAGCGGTTTGCTCAAGCGGCTCGCAGAGCTGGGGGAGGACACATGGGGAACAGACGGGTGTGCGGTGTGGGGGGGCAGAGCTCCCCACCCTCTCTGGGTGCCAACCTCCCCGCTCCACCACGTGCACCCCCTTCTGTTGGGTTTTATGGCTTCACTTCGTAGGGGCGGTTGGTTAAGTCATTGCCCGTTGGTAGCCAACTACCACCGGAGTCGGCGTGGACCAAAAGTTGCCACTTGCTGACCTCGTGGTTGGTGTTTCTGGTGGCCAGGCCCCTCAGAGGCTCTCAAGGGACACGCCAAGAGTGGCCACATCCCAACAAAGACACTGCTGCACCCAGGAAATTACAAAGCATTAAGGAGCTCTGTGCCAAGGCGGGGTGAAGCCCAAATCCGCCCTGCCTGTCATGTCAGAGCATTTCTTTTATTCCTTGTACACTCTGCTTGAGATTCTATGTTTTTGTAAATCTGAGCAGGAGCGAGAAAGGGAGAGAGGGAGCGAGAGAGGGAGAGAGGGAGATATCAGGACAGAGAGACAGAGGAGGGAGCAGGAAGGGTGTCCTGTGACTCGGGCTCTGAGGCGCCCTGTGCTCAGGCCCTCACCGTCTCGGTGGCTTCCTGACGCCTTCTGAGAAGCAGGGGCACTGCTGGCTACCCTTGGACTCTCTCTGCAGATGGCGCGCCTCTGCCCTGGTACAAACGCCACCTGTGGCCTCAGGTTGACTAAATTGGTTGTCAAATGTGCACGTTCTGTGCGAGAGGTAGGTGGGGCTGTGTCCCTCACTCTACACCCTCCCACTGGCCTGCGTGGACCAGCAAGTCAAGGGACACCCAGCTCAGTGCCCTGGATGCTGACCCCACTGCCTTTTCCCACAGGACCGAGCTGACCCCCGAGAGCCCGCTGTGGGTTGGTGCCTGGTGGGTGGGCTTCCTGGGCACCGGGGCCGCTGCCCTCTTCATTGCGGTTCCCATCCTCGGCTACCCGCGGCGGCTGCCAGGTGGGTGCTCCCCCTCCCCCTCCCCCTCCCCCTCCCCTCCCCCTCCCCCTCCCCCTCCCCCATGAGTGTGCAAGCCCCTCGTCGTGTGAGTTGCTGTGATTCACAGGAGAGTCCAGTTGCGGTGTCTGCCAGGTCCTCCATCCTGCAGCGGGCCGGCCAGCTGGCGCCCTCCCCGGGGCCATGACAGCTGGTCTCAGTGGTGCCAGGTCGTCTGCTGGCTCTGTCCCTCTCTGTTGCCAGGGTGGGTCCGCACCCCTCCGTCGCGCAGCCGCCCATGCGTGCAGGCCCTGAGTCTCCTGGCGTCTTGTCCCTCCAGGCTCCCAGCGCTACGTGGCCATGCGAGCCTCTGAGCACCAGCTGAAGGACCGGAGCCCACAGGCGGCCAGCAGCCCCGGCTTCGGGAGAACCGTCAGAGACTTGCCTCTGTAAGGAGCTGGGGCGGTCCTCTGCCTGCGCCCCTCGCCCTCACCTGTGTCCCGGAGCCCCTCCGGGTCTCACACACACGGAATCTTGGCCCCAAACTAGGAGGGCTGGGGTGGTCCTCCGGGGCCACGTGAGCTCATGACCCCTGGCCGCCAGGGGCGCCACTGACCTCAGGCCACGCCCAAGAGTCGCCCCTGACCGGCCACAGGCCCTCGCTCTGTGGAACCTCGTCACTAGGTGCCGCCTGCACGCAGCTCAGGGGCTCCAGGCTGGCGCCGCCCTTCCGGCCTCAGCCCAGGCCCTCGCTGCCCTGCGCCTGCCCCGCCCTCTTGTTCGCGTCTCCCCTCTCTTGGGGACATGACTTGCTTTGCCATTCTCATTCACAAATAGAGCCCTGCCTGGGCTGCTGGGATCTCAGCAGGACGTGGGCCTGGGGACTCACGGCTGCCCAGGGCCCCTCTGCCCGGATCGGGCCTTCCACGGGGTCTCTCCCGCTCACCAGCCCCCACCCTCAGTGTCCTGAGCCCGTGACCGGCGGTCTAACAGCCCCCGGGCTCGGGCGGCTGGCAGTGGGCGGGCCTGTGCCTGTCTTCAGCACGGAGGGTGAAGGGGCTCAGCCGAGGGCACCCTCCAGGGCAGCAGAGCCAACGCAGGCCTCCACCGCCTAGGGCTTGTTCTCCCCTCCCCACTTCCTGTCAGATCCCCCAAAAGAGCCACCACGGTGCCCCCCACAGGCGAGCTGGCCAGGTCCACACCGGCAGGGGTGGGAGCACTGTCTCCTGGCACGCTCTCGCTGGCACCGTGCTGGGCACTGGGCCTGCCCCAGTGGCCCGAGGGGGTGGCGGACGCCCGGAGGTCGGTGCCCAGGCTCCGTTCCCAGACCAGTTGCTGGTCGGAAAGCCGATGTGTGTGCCTGTTAAATCGTGACTAGTTCTCTGAGCAAATTCAAGCCAGACCTCAGTAGCACGTCCTGCAGGAAAAGGAGACACAGAGTGTGCTGGCCACTCGGGAGAACCCCTTCCTGCCAGCCAGAGCGTGGGCTGATCGGGCCAGGCAGGGAGGGACTGGCCACACGCTGTCCCTCTCAGAGAACACACAGGCCTGAGGCCTGTGCCTGGCGGAGACGGTGCTGGGCCCCGCCGGCCACACCACTGATGGCATTTTGTCCCGGCCTTCCCAGCACCGAGTACGGAGGCCAGCTTTGCAGGCACCGGGTTCCCCTTTGGAGCAAGGCCTGGTGAGGGCTGCTGGGAGTCAGCTGAGCAGTCGCCCCTGCCTGGAAAGACAAGTGGGGGCGGCCGTCCCTCCGGCTCAGGCGGCCACGGGGAATTGTGGCTGCTGCAGGCCGGCTGCCCAAACCGCGTCCTCCGAGAAGAGCGACTCGGTCGTGACGGTCGTGTGGCTGTGACAGATGCTGGGTGAGGGTGACCGGGCCGCGCCGGCCTCGGGGGGCAGCCGGGAGCCCCTCGGTGGCACAAGGAGCCACTTCAGAGCCACTGTCAGCCGCACGGTAGTCACGTGTCACAGGCTGCTTTTGTCAGCGTGAGTGAGGCTGTCCCACCCAGTGTGTCCCGCACCTTCCGGGGCGTAACAAGCCATTGGCCACACTTCTGTGCGGCCGGGACACTGCTGCGTGGTGGAGAGGGACGGAGGGGGAGAACGGTGCAGAGAGAGGGACCGGGGGTTGGGGGGGGGGGGCACAGTGGAGGAACAGGTGAGAGAAAAGCCACTCGAGCTGGAGCCTGGCTGCCTGCAGAGCCCAGCCTTCCGTTCCAGACCTCCCAGGGTACAAGGTGGGGAGCAGCACCCAGGCCACTCGGCCGGGTACCTCAGGTTCCCATTCCCAGCATGTGGGGGGCCATCGGAATTGAGGACCCCACCCCCTTCCTCCACCTCTCAGCAGGCTCCGCATACTCGTGGAGCCGCTGCCCTCCTGGCAGGTCCCTTTCCATTCCACGTTTTCCTCCCTCACTACTGTCATTTAGTGCCGTTGACTTTTTTAATCCTCACCCAAGGACATGCTTTCAGAGAGGAAGAGAGAGAAAGACTAAGAGAAGCATCCATCGGTTGCCTTCCATACGCTCGTCATTTGGGGATCAAACCCGCAACCCAGGTGTGTGCCTGACCAGGAGCCAAACCGGCAGCCTGTGGTGCCCGGGGGCGCCCAGTCAGCTGAGCCCCCGCCGGGCTCTCACCACATCTGAACAGTCTGAGTGTCTCCCACGTTTGAGCAGTGCTCACCCATGTGGCGTGCAGGGCCTGGCCCCCAGTCCTGCCAGGGTGACACGGGACAGACTTCTGGACGTGACGCCAGCACCTCCAGGCTCACGCCCGCATCCGATGCTCCTGAAACCCTCCACCCGCAGCCGGACCTATGGCCCAGTGTCCCACGGCTGTGCGGGACCGAGTTCTCAGTCCCCAGAAATGGGACCAGGCGGGTCCACCAGGGCATCGGGCCAGGTTCGGTGGCACCAACACCAGCACCTTCCTCAGGCCCTGTTTTCACCCCCAGTGTACGCCAGGCGAAGCCGCAGAGCCGGCCAGCCCACCGGGCTCCGGGGAGGGCCTCTGCCCAAGCCTGCGGGGCTTCCTGCCCCTTCCCACAGCTGCTGGCGGCGGAGCCCTGCCCTCAGTGCCCTGACTGGGCAGCAGCTGCCCCCGGGTGATTAAACAGTGACAGGGGTCACTCAAGGTCCCTCCTCACCAAAGCCCGAACTCTGGCCAAGGCGGCAAAGAGGCTCTTCCGTCACCAGTGACGGCAGCTTTACAACAAGCAGGAGCTCAGGATCCTGGTGCCAGCTCTCCCTGCCGCAGCCCAGCCTAACGCTTCCTCTTGGTTTCTCTGGGGAAAAGGGTGCCTCCCAGCTCATCGGCCACCCACCCACTCTTCTCGCAGAACGCGGCTCAGGGGCTCAGCTGCGGAGGGCGATGGCCTCGGCAGCCGTGGCTTCCTCACTCCCTGGCTCTGACCCTCTGTCTCTTCTCTTGTCTCCGCCCCCTGCCCCGTCCAGTTCCGTCTGGCTCCTCCTGAAGAACCCCGTGTTCATCCTGCTCTGCCTGGCCGGGGCCACTGAGGCCACCCTCATCGCTGGCATGTCCACGTTCGGCCCCAAGTTCCTCGAGTCCCAGTTCAGCCTCAGCGCCTCGGAAGCCGCCACCCTGTTTGGTGAGAAAAGTCTCTGAACTCCAGGGTCCGCAGCCTCGTCAGCAGCTCTCAGACAAGCAAGGGGCCCGGGGAGTGCCTTCTGGATACGCCCGGGCAGGGAGAGCCCGAGGACAGGGTCTGGGCCGTGGGCAAGGCTCGGGGCACCGTCCTCCGGAGGGCTTCAGGCCACTGCCCACGCATGCGCGGCGTGCTGGCCGTCTCAGGGCCTCATGGAGCCGCTGCCCTCCTGGCAGGTCCCTCTAGCTGGGAGGGCCGGGGTGGCCCTCAGCTTGCCGGCCTCTCCCATCGCCACCCAGGACCTGGCGTGCCGTCCCCTGAGCTAGGCACCGGGTGTCGGGGCCTCGGGGGACCCTCCCGGCTGCAGGCTCTGGCCCGAGCGGGCAGCCCGCCCAGGAGGGTGCGGCTCCTCCTCCCACTGCTGCCCAAGGGGCAGCCTCCTCAGCAGCGAGAGTGGGGGGAGAGGTCAGCCGTGAGTACATGGTGGGGAGCAGCACCCAGGCCACTCAGCCGGGTACCTCAGGTTCCCATTCCCAGCATGTGGGGGGCCATCGGAATTGACCCCACCCCCTTCCTCCACCTCTCAGCAGGCTCCGCATACCCAGATTCCCGCCCACAACTGCCTCCCTTCCCCACAGGCCCCTGGGACGGCCATGTCCTTTGGAGCCCCCTCTCCTGCCCCAGAGCTGGCTCTGGTCAGTGCTGGGGAGATGGCCCCCTAAGCCTGGGGCCTTTCAGGTGCCCACTGCCCCACGGAGCCCCCACTCCCATCACCTGATCTCAACTTCATGCTGAGTGCCAGGGCCACAGGCTTCCCATGTCCCCGCGTCCGAGTGGGTAGAGGCCGTGGCGGGCCAGCGCCCAGGACCTCGGCTCCTCCCAGAGGCAGGGCCGCAGCAGAGAGCGCTGGTCAGGCCCCGGCCCGCCCGGCCCGCGCTGCCCTCGGGCGGGGTGGCCCTGCCCCTCCGTGCCCCGTCTGTAAAGGAGGGGTAACAGGATGCGGCAGGATCAGGGCCCACCCCAGGCGCCAGGAACCGCTGGCTGAGCCCTCCCCTCTCACAGGGTACCTGGTGGTGCCGGCGGGTGGGGGCGGCACCTTCCTGGGTGGCTTCTTCGTGAACAAGTTGAAGCTCCGTGGCTCGAGCGTCATCAAGTTCTGCCTGGCCTGCTCCCTGACCAGCCTGCTGGCCATCCTGGTCTTCTTCGCGCACTGCCCCAACGTGCCCATGGTGGGCGTCACGGCCCGCCACAACAGCAGGTAGGCCCCGCGCCGGCCGGGGTTTTGGGCGAGGCCTCCTGGCACCGGCCTCCGCCCACCACCCGCATCTCCCACCTGTAGCGCCTCGCCCGAGGGCCACCTGGAGCTGACCGCCGCCTGCAACGCCGCCTGCGGCTGCGAGCCAGGGCTCTACAGCCCGGTGTGCGGCTCCGACGGCCTCATGTACTACTCGCCCTGCCACGCGGGCTGCCAGGAGGCGGCGCCCGGCCCCGGCCGCCAGAAGGTGAGTGCGCCCTGCCCGCACCCACCCGCGCCCTGGGCTGGGCGGCCCTGGCCCTTCCCCCGGTAATCAGCGCTGTTGTTGCGCTCCTCAGGTGTACCGAGACTGTAGGTGTGTCCTTCAGAATTTTTCCTCTGGTTTTGGCCATGCTACTGCAGGGAAATGCACTTCAACTTGTCAGAGCAAGCCCCTCCTTCTGGTTTTCATATTCGTTGTAATTACCTTTACCTTCCTCAGCAGCATTCCCGCGCTGACGGCCACCTTACGGTAAGCACTCCGGGCTCCGCGCTCGCTCCCTCCGGAGCCGCCCTGCAGCCTCAGCGAGCTCCGGCCGGGCTCCTGCCGGGCCGAGGCGGCGGCGGGAAAGCTGCGCCTCTGAGGTCTCTCCACCTGGGGAGGTGGCGGAGCGGCCCGGAGCTCGGCCGGACCCGCTGTGGGCGTGGGGGTGACTTGGCGGCCACACTTCCCGGCTTTGACATGCTTTTCTGGCTCAGGTGCGTCTGCGACCAGCAGAGGTCCTTCGCGCTGGGAATCCAGTGGATCGTGGTTAGGACGCTAGGTACTTACCGAGGGCCCCGCACGCTGGGCACATGCTCACTGCACAGGGCACCGCGGTGTCCCCACCCAGGCCTGGGCCGCCTGGGAGAACGCACTCCCTAAGGCTCCACCTGAGGCCCCAGAGGGCGGTGCCTCTCCTCACTGACAAAAGCTCCCCGGGGGTCGGGGTCCCAGGAAACGCCCTGGCCTGCAGCCCAGGCCCCAGGGAAGGAGCCCTGAGGCCCCTGTGCGCCCCCTGGGAACGCCAGTGGCCGACGTCCCTTTCTGGGAGCCGGGCAGGTTGGGTCCTGAGTGGGCCTCTCTCCACAGGGGGCATCCCGGGGCCCATCGCCTTCGGCTGGGTGATTGACAAGGCCTGCTTGCTGTGGCAGGACCAGTGCGGCCAGCAGGGCTCCTGCTTCCTGTACCAGAACGCAGCCATGAGCCGGTACATGCTCATCGCCGGGCTGGCGTATAAGGTGAGCAGCTGGGCTGCTGGGCGGCTGCGGGAGGAAGCCCGGAATCTTCTAGCAGCAGGGGTGAAGCCCACCTTGCAGAGCGTGTCCTTCCCCGTCTAGAGCTGGCATTGGGACCCTGATGTTGTGTGACTGGGAGAGCCAGCCTGGGTCACGGCCTGAGCTTGCAGCCCGGGGTCAGAGGGCGCCCTGCCTTCGGGGGCCTTTGCCACGGCGGCCTGGGTGTGCCTGTGGCTCCGGAGGAATCAAGCCTGGCAGCCTGGGCACGCAGGCCGGGTCGGTGTGCTGGGCCCGTGCCACACGGCTTTAATGTGCCTTCCTAGTTCTCAGCCCGGCCCTCTGCTCCTGCCTCCGCCGGGCATATGCGCCCGGCGAGGCCCAGACCTGGTGCCTTGGACCCCGCGGGAGGGAGGCTCAGGGCCTGTCTCCACGCAGGGCCTTCCTGAGGGGCCTCCAGATGAGTGTGCCCAGGGGCTGGGGGAGCTCTGGAGAATAGCCCCACTTGGTTTTAAAGAGACAGGCCCTCCCCGGGGAGCAGGCTGGTCCCTGGGACGTGTCTGCCAGCAGCCTTTGGCTTGTAGATCTGTCACCCCATCTCTGCCCCATGTTCACAGACCCCCCCCCGCCCCAATGTATTTGTGACAAACCCGTCTCCTTTCTCTTACAAGAACAACATACTGGACTGGGGGCCACCCACCCAGGATGCCCTCATCCCAAGTCCCTTAGTGATGTCTTTCAAGGACTCCACTCTCGGGATCATGACTCAGATATATCTTTGGGGAACACTGTTCAGCCCCCCTATCCGGCGCCTCTGCTTGTAGTCAAATGCATTTTCCTTCCTTCACTGGCAGCACTGGTGTCCGTGCTGGGGACTGGCTGTGCAGGAAGAGGGGTCTTCTTGCCAGAGTGGGGGGTCTTGAGAGCCCGAGAGGAGCTAGGGCGCGGGGCTGGGTGGCAGCTCCGGTCCAGCGCCCTCTCTCTGCAGGTGCTGGGCTTCCTCTTCTTCGCGGCCGCGTACGTCCTGTACAGGTCCCGGCGGGCGCCTCCCCCCGGCCTGGAAGCCTCTCTGCCCAGCCAGTCCTCGGCCTCCGACAGCCCCTCGGACCTCCAGGGGGCCCCCTCAGGCCTCCAGAGCAACGTCTGACCCAGCCCGCCCACCAGACCCGGGCCAGCACTCAGGGCTCCCCAAACCACCTGCAACTTCTCCACCGTGGGGCTGACCCCTCACTGACTGCCCCCCAGTCCGAGGCAGGAGGGCTGCTGCCCGTGTCTGAGCCCGGGGACAAGGAGAAGGGCTGACGACATGGGAAATGCTGGGGAGTGTGGCGCCCCCTGCGGCCTGCCCGGTGAGTGCCGCCTGCACCTCCCGGCCCTGGGCTCACGGGTGGCCTTTCCCGTGGGCGCAGCGCGGTGCCCACTTCGGCTCCCGGTTCCCGGGAGGGGCCCCGCTGAGTGCGGGCGGTGGCTGGTGCCTCCGCCGCCCGGCACAGCCCTGACTTCCTGTGGGTCCTGCGGGGGGAGGCCGTGGGACACCACTTCCAGGGCGCGCTCCCCACGGAGCCAGTCCGTACCCAGACCTGCTGTCACCTGTCCCGCCGCACGGCCCTGGGCGGAGCAAATACACGGCCGCTCCCGTAAACACTTCCTCTGCCGGCGGCGAGTGCTCGCTCAGAAACCTGTGGATTCGCTGGACTCTCACGGATGTTTGTTCCCCGGTGTCCTCAGACAAATTATGTGTGTAAATATATTTTAATATTTAACAACGATGTCCCTGTTGGCGTGCTTTATTTCTAGAAATTTCCCCAGTTCGGTGGTCTTGCACATCCTTTGTGTGGGCTTTTGGGAGTCTGCGAGGGCTGCCAGGCGAGCCTGTTTTCTCAGGAGCTTCCCGGGGTGCACCCCCCCCATCCCCTATGACCAGTAGTCTCCCTCCAGGGCCCCACACCCTCCTGGGTCCGCAACTCCAGGTCCCACTTTCGTTCACTGCTGCTGGCGCAGGAAGAGTGCATGTGGGCGTGTATGTGTGTGCATGCAGCACGGGTGTGCATGTGTGTGTGCCCACCAATGGATCATAAAACAAGATGAAAGGAGCCCAGCACGGGGTCGCTCTTTCCCGAAACATCGACTCTGACGGTGCGGTGCCCGGGCCGGCAATGGCCTGTGACACCCACTGCGCATCGCAGCGGCCGGCACTCCCCTGGCAGGGGCTTGGCCGGGGAAAGACCATAACATTGGGGTCGCCGGGCTCCATCGGGCCGCTCCCCACTCCACGCCCCTCGCTGGGCTGCCAGGCCCTGGAGACTCCCTCAAGCTCACCCGCCTGCAGGACCGCCTCCGCCCAGCCTCTGCCTCCCCATCCGCTCACTGTGACCCTCTGCTCCTTGGCCAGTTGGGGTGCTTGTCCCCTTGTTTCACCCCAAGCTCCTCACATGTTCTCCCCTCCTGCCCAGGTGGCTCCCCGCGTCCCCTATCTTGTCCCCCGTCCTGCAGCCCCGAGTAAGGATGCTCTCATGGTGCCTCTAGTGAGAAGCCGGCCTCGGGGCCTCTCACCCTCCACACTGCAGGCCAGGCCGTGACCCTCCGCCTGGACCTGTGGCTCCTCTCCGCAGCCCCGGGTCCTCTGGGCCCGAGCACCCCCGCTCCCAGGCGCCCTTTGGCACGAGGCTCCGGGGTCACTCGGGCTTCATCTGGAGGGTCGGGCGTGGCAATCCCAGCTCCCAGAGGCACGTGGCACTGCCGGCTGGGGGCGCCTCGAGGCATCAGCTCTGCCCGACCCCAGTTGCTGCGACACCAGGGGCGGGGCTGGCTCCCGGCGTGTGCGAGTGTCCAGGGCTGTGTCCTGAGCAAACCCCCTCCCGGCCGCGTGGCTCAGCAGTCGGCATCAACCTAGAAACCAGGAGGTCACGGTTCCGTTGCCAGTCGGGGCACACGCCCGGTTGCGAGCTCAATCCCCAGTGTGGAGGCAGCCGATCGATGATTCTCTCATCATTGACGGCTCTCCCTCTCCCTTCCTCTCTCTAAAAAATCACATTTATACAGAACGCCTCGCACAGCGAACGCTGCACACAACGAACTTCCTTTCATGATTCATACAACGAACTTCGTTTCACACAACGAAGTCGCCCGAGCTTCCATGACCGCTTCGCCCGAGCTTCCACGATCGCTGCCGATGTATTGCATCCTTCCGCGCAGGCCCTGCAGGCAGTCGTTAGTCACTGCGCTTAACTTAAGCACGTATCGCGGCAATCGTTCTTCATTACGAATTAAATCACGCACGTATCACGGCAGTCGTCCTTTTAAGTTAAACTCAATATTTTTTTTATATCATGATGTATCTAAATAAAAATAATAACAAAAAATTTATCTTTTTTATGTCATCTTAGCATATTTTATGCTACAGAACGAATTATTTTTTTTAACATGTATTGTTATGGGAAAACGCGTTTCACATAACGAACTTTTCGCATAACAAGCTTGCTCCTGGAACGAATTAAGTTCGTTGTGTGAGGCACCACTGTATTTTAAACTCCCTCCTGTCTCACTGCACCTCCATCCTCCTGGGCACGCTCTTCCTTCCCAGTTGGGGTCGAGCCAGTGGGTGTTTGATGATTCCACTGGGCCTGGCTCCCGGGTACCACCCCTGGTGAGCTCAGCCCAGCAGCCCGGCTCCCGCCCCTGCCAACGGTGCTGGTGGTGCTGGCATGGGGGTGAGATCTGCAGTTGTAGTCGCTGGACACAAGGGGGCAGCACAGACACGCCCGGTGTGTCAGGCTACCAGCCAGGCGGCTGGACGGTCTCTGCCCAGCAGGGGTCCCCGGAGGGCGTGCAGCCACCACAGGGTCTCCCTCCCCTGAGACGCGCCTGTGACTGTGGGCTGGTGCCAGCCCCTCTCAAATCCTCACCCAGCCCTCGACGGCCGCCGTCTGGTCTTCCCGGGACCCCGAGGTGGAGGCAGTGGTCTCCGAAGGACACGGTGCTGGGGAGCCCCGTCCTCGGTGTGCGGCTGCTGGGGCAGCGGGGCCTGATGGGGTCCGCACCCTGATCACCGGCTGACGCACAGCCAGGCACAGCCCCTTCCATTCCCAGCCGGCCCGCGCACCTGCCTTCTGTGAATTTCATTCAGGACCTGGTGTGGTCCTGCGTCCCGAGGGGTGCGGCCGCAGCAGGGGGAGCGGTGGGTGGAGGGCCAGGCCCTCGCTCTGGCCGCTCGCACCAGAGACAGGGCTGAGCCTCCCGTGGCCCCGGGGGGGGGGGGGGGGGCGTGATGAGGACAGGATGGGAAGCAGTGCACATGCCCTGACCGGCACCTCTGTGCCCGGCGGGAGGGGGCGTCACCGCCAGGGCGGCCCGGCTCATCGCGTGTCCTGGGCTCCGCCTGCCCTCTGTGCTCCCGCCGCCCTCTGTGCTCCCTCTGCCCTCTGTGCTCCCGCCGCCCTCTGTGCTCCCTCTGCCCTCTGTGCTCCCGCTGCCCTCTGTGCTCCCTCTGCCCTCTGTGCTCCCGCCTGCCCTCTGTGCTCCCTCTGCCCTCTGTGCTCCCGCTGCCCTCTGTGCTCCCTCTGCCCTCTGTGCTCCCGCCTGCCCTCTGTGCTCCCTCTGCCCTCTGTGCTCCCGCCGCCCTCGGTGCTCCCGCCGCCCTCTGTGCTCCCGCCTGCCCTCTGTGCTCCCGCCTGTCCTCTGTGCTCCCGCCTGCCCTCTGTGCTCCCGCCGCCCTTGGTGCTCCTGCTGCCCTCTGTGCTCCCCCCTGCCCTCTGTGCTCCCGCCTGCCCTCTGTGCTCCCGCCTGTCCTCTGTGCTCCCGCCGCCCTCGGTGCTCCCGCCGCCCTCTGTGCTCCCGCCTGCCCTCTGCTCCTGCCGCCCTCGGTGCTCCCGCCGCCCTCTGTGCTCCCGCCTGCCCTCTGCTCCTGCCGCCCTCTGTGCTCCCGCCGCCCTCTGTGCTCCCACCACCCTCGGTGCTCCCGCCTGTCCTCTGTGCTCCCGCCGCCCTCGGTGCTCCCGCCGCCCTCTGTGCTCCCGCCGCCTTCGGTGCTCCCGCCTGCCCTCTGTGCTCCCGCCTGCCCTCTGTGCTCCCGCTGCCCTCTGTGCTCCCACTGCCCTCTGTGCTCCCACCTGCCCTCTGTGCTCCCACTGCCCTCTGTGCTCCCACCTGCCCTCTGTGCTCCCGCTGCCCTCTGTGCTCCCGCCTGCCCTCTGTGCTCCTGCCGCCCTCTGTGCTCCCGCTGCCCTCTGTGCTCCCGCCTGCCCTCTGTGCTCCTGCCGCCCTCTGTGCTCCCGCTGCCCTCGGTGCTCCCGCCGCCCTCGGTGCTCCTGCCGCCCTCTGTGCTCCCGCTGCCCTCGGTGCTCCCGCTGCCCTCTGTGCTCCCACCGCCCGCGGTGCTCCCGCCGCCCTCTGTGCTCCCGCTGCCCTCTGTGCTCCCGCCTGTCCTCGGTGCTCCCACTGCCCTCCGTGCTCCCGCCTGCCCTCTGCTCCTGCCGCCCGCGTGGGGAGCTGCCACCAGTGTCTCACGGGAGTTTATGGAGACCAGAGGGTAAGTGCAGTGTTTGTGTTTATTAAGTAGCTAAGCTAATCGTCCTCCTTGCTTAACGGCTAAGGAAACTGAGGCCCAGAGCTGATAGCCAGCCTGTGCCAGGCAGTGTGAGCGAGAGGAGAGGGGGCTCGGTTGTGATGACTGGGCATGGCTGCGGGGCTGAGAGGCGGTCTGGGCGCTGAGACCAGGGGACGGGGCAGCCGGCTGGGGAGGGAGAAGCTGAGGTCCCAGCTCAGCAGGCGGGGGTTGGGGGGGACACAGCCTCCTCCCTCTGCTCAGTCTCCCCAGCCCTGAGCAAGGTGGACGAGGCCCCCCCACACGGGGGCGGGCTATCTGCTTCCCTGAGCCCACTGACTCACAGGCTGTCCCCCAATACCCCACAGGCTGCCCCCCGACACCCACAGGCTGTCCCCCGACACCCACAGGCTGCCCCCCGGCACCCACAGGCTGCCCCCCGACACCCACAGGCTGTCCCCCGACACCCACAGTCTCTTCCCGACACCCACAGGCTGCCCCCCGGCACCCACAGGCTGCCCCCCGACACCCACAGGCTCTTCCCGACACCCACAGGCTCTTCCCGACACCCACAGGCTGTCCCCCGACACCCACAGGCTGTCCCCCGACACCCACAGGCTGCCCCCCGGCACCCACAGGCTGCCCTCCGACACCCACAGGCTGTCCCCCGACACCCACAGGCTGCCCCCTGACACCCACAGGCTGCCCCCTGACACCCACAGGCTCCTCCCGACACCCCACAGGCTCCTCCCGACACCCACAGGCTGCCCCCCGACATCCACAGGCTGTCCCCCGACACCCACAGTCTCTTCCCGACACCCACAGGCTGTCCCCCGGCACCCACAGGCTGCCCCCCGACACCCACAGGCTGCCCCTCGACACCCCACAGGCTGCCCCCCGACACCCCACAGGCTGCCCCCCGACACCCCACAGGCTGCCCCCCGGCACCCACAGGCTCCTCTCGACACCCCACAGGCTCCTCCTGACACCCCACAGGCTGTCCCCCGACACCCACAGGCTGCCCCCCGGCACCCCACAGACTGCCCCCCGACACCCACAGGCTCCTCCCGACACCCACAGGCTGCCCCCCGACACCCCACAGGCTCCTCCCGACACCCACAGGCTGCCCCCCGACACCCACAGGCTCTTCCCGACACCCACAGGCTGCCCCCCGGCACCCACAGGCTGCCCCCCGACACCCACAGGCTCTTCCCGACACCCACAG